CCCCCCTTCCCCCCCCCAACCTGTCCCTCCACGTCACCTGTCATTTGCTGGCCTTTTGGTGTTTGATTCTAGCCTGCTGACATCTTTTTTTTTTTTTCTTCCTTTTTTAAAGATTTATTTATTGTGTATACAGTGTTCTGCCTGCAGGCCAGAAGAGGGCACCAGATCTCATTGTAGATAGTTGTGAGCCACCATGTGGTTGCTGGGAATTGAACTCAGGACCTCTGGAAGAGCAGCCAGTACTCTTAACCTCTGAGCCATCCCTCCAGCCCCCAACTGCTGACATCTTGGTCATATGAGGTTCCCACCATTTCTGTCTGTCTTTTCATTCCTCCACAGCGAGGCCATCGCCAGTATGACCAAAGTGACACAGGATATGCTCTTTAGACTCTCACCGTCCATAGAATGAACTCACCCGAGAACAGGCTCAGACTGCAGAGGTGGTACCTGCATATGTTGTCGGATGTGGTAGAAAACGGAACCAGCAATGACAAGTGAGAGCACTACTGCAGCCAAGGGGATCCTGAGTCTTCACAGTCCACGGGATAAAGAATATTAAAGTTCACATCTACCACAGGCCAAAGTTAGGACTGAGAGAAGATGATTCACCTCATCCATTCAGACATTTACTAATTCGTTCTTTCATTCACTTAATAATAATAACATGAGACAGGGTTTCTCTGTGTAGCTTTGGCTGTCCTGGAACTCACTCTGTAGACCAGGCTGGCTTTGAAATCACAGAGGTTCACCTGCCTCTGCCCCACAATAATGACACAGTTCAACACATTCTTATAAAATATAACAAGACCTTGTCTCAAAGAACAAGCAAGTGACAGGCAGTGGTGATGCACACCTTTAGCCCCAGCACTCAGGAAACCCTGTCTCCAAAAACAAAACAAGCAAGCAGTATTAGAAGGGAGCTAAGCCAGGCATTGATGGCTCATGCCTTTAATCCCAGCACTTGGGAGGCAGAGGCAGGCAGATCTCTGTGTTCAAGGCCAGCCTGGTCTACAGAGCAAGTTTCAGGACAGTCAGAGCTACACAGAGAAGCCCTGTCTAGAACAACCAAAACCTGAGACATGGACTGAGCATCTTCTGGATTCTTAAACTTTCCATTCATAGCTAGCCATTGTTGTATTAGTTGGTCCATAGCCTGTAAGTCATTCTAATAAATCCTTTACCTTAAGAAAGACAAATTGATTCTATAAGTTCTGTTACTCTAGAGAATCCTGACTAGTACATAATTTGGTACTAGAAGTGGTTGTAGAGCAACAGAAATATAAGGATGAATCTTTTTAAGTATCTAGAATAGGCTTTCTAATTTGCTAACACCAAGTAGTACTGAAACCTCTCCAGTTACCAAAGCCTCTCCTGGGAGCTCAGAGTATACTAAAAGTCCATGATGTGAACTGTATTACAAACTTATGGAAATAAATACATTTGATTATTCTGATTCACCAAACACACACACACACACACACACACACACACACACACACACTCCCCCCCTTTCCAGCCCCCACAGTTCTGACACGAAAGTGACTGTGAACTGAAGGTGAGTTTTATGTTTCAAACAGCCTGCTGAAGACCAGGAGAGGTGGCTAGAAAGAGCCAGGGAAGGACTTGACAGTGGGAGAGGTCCACGGGTTCATACTCCCATAACTTGCCTTAAGGGGATGTATATTCTTGTGTTAACTATATCTCAGGCTGTTGTTTACAAATGCATATGTTAGCTGGGCATGATGGTAGATACCTGTAACCCCAACACCCAAGAGGTGGGACAGGGAGGATCAGGAGTTCAAAACCAGCTTCCTCCACATCCCAAGTTCAAGGCCATCTTGAGCTCTACTAGACTGGTCTCAAAACAAAACATAAATTATAAACACAGATATTTCCTAATTCTGTCCACTGAAATAACCTAGAAATAAAACGGATAACAACCCAGGACACCCTGCCCCAGTGCTAGGAAAGTGTTCTGCCACTGAGCTATCCCCACCCCTAGCCCAGGGCTGTGGCTTGAGATAGCATTCACACTAAACAGACTCATATGAACACACCAGGCTGGCATCCAGTGGTTTCCCACACTGAGAGCACACAGACTTGAGCCAGCTGTGAGTCTGGTGCAGTGTATAAATGGGAGTCATGACAGATCTTGCCCCACTCTGTGTGTGTTTGAAACTCATTACTCCACGAAAAGCACTAAGCTCAGTGCCCAACTCCAGCAGGGGCTGTTCATGATGCTGTCGCTCCTGCTCACTGCATGCTCCAAACATGTGGCCTCTTCGCTTTGCACCTGAGACCTGCTTCCTCTCCAGAATCTCACATTGCAAAGGAACCACTTGCCCCTCCCTGAAGAAGCCTCGGTGGGTCTGTCTCCCACCCTATAAGGCAGGCCAGCTCTCAACCATCTTCCTGCCCAATACAAGGATTACACCATAAAGGACAAAACCGAGACAGCTGTACTTGGGTCCCAGTGGCCTGCCTGATCCTCATATGGCTCTGTGCAGACTGCCCTCTGTCTCCAGCTTCTCAGCAGGACTCTGCTTCTTAGGGCAGTCATCTTGTCTTTATCTCTGTGTCCAGTGGAGCGCTGTAATTAAGAAGTGTCTGCTGAGCCCAGCGTTGGTGGCGCACGCCTTTAATCCCAGCACTCAGGAGGCAGAGGCAGGTGGATCTCTATGAGTTCCAGACCAGCCTGGTCTACAAGAGCTAGTTCCAGGACAGCCTCCAAAGCCACAGAGAAACCCTGTCTCAAAAAAAAAAAAAAAAAAAAAAAAAAAGTGTCTGCTGAATGCTGATGCAGTACGTGGTCACAGGTATACCTCTGACATCAGTACCTGAGGTTAGAAGGTTTTCACCTTGGGAAATGTGAACAAATGAGAAAGTCCAAAACATATCATGTGCCACTTGCATGCATATATGTCTATATAGTAAAACATTTCCACAGAATTCATTCATTGGATGTTAAAACGTGATACACAGCCGGGCGTTGGTGGCAAACGCCTTTGATCCCAGCGCTCAGGAGGCAGAGGCAGGTGGATCTCTGTGAGTTCAAGACCAACCTGGTCTACAAGAACTAGTTTTAGGACAGCCTCCAAAGCCACAGAGAAACCCTGTTTCAAGGGGAAAAAAATCATGATACATACACAATTATTTGGGGCTTGCTCCTCTATTATCTGTATTAAGTTAGCTATTAGCACATATCAGAAGTTTATTTACATATTTTTGGTTTAAATTATTTTGTTTGCAGTAGTAGGTATGGAACCTAGGGCCTTACCTATCCCAGGCAGGGACTTTACCAGTAAACCACTTCTTCATGATTCAGGCTTTTGCTAAGTTTCCTGGGCTGCCCTTGAGCTTGTGAGTCTCCTGGGCCCAGATACCTCCATGTGGTTTGGGGTCAGTGGGAAGCAAGATCATGAAAAGTTTAAACTAAAGGAGTAGAAATATGTCTGTGCCTAGATGTTTGCATTCCTTTAAATTCTTTACTTCTTGGGATTATTTGAAGTGTGTCATCCCTGCTGGGGGCTGCTGGCTTTCCCAGAGCCATGACTCCCGGAGTCTGAGATCAGACTTCTGGGAATGGGAGTGGGTACAACCAAACATTTTCAGGAGCCTAAGATTTCTTTCAAGGTCCCTAAAACTATGCCTGCCCCATTAAGTCATTTATATTTCTGGAAATCTACAGTGAGAAAGTCTCAGGATAGAAGGCATATAGAAAATGCCTTGTCATCCATGATAGGAGGGGATGCTTGTTAATAACAGACATTCTATGGAATTCTGTGCAGCCATTTAAAAGTAATATGGGAAGTACAAGTGTAAGACTAGGCGTGTGGCCGAGGGCAGAGTGCTGTCGAGTATTCCTGCTTTGGCTCTGTTAGTGTTTTCAGTGAGGACCAACTGTTTTTATTTCGATTTTAGCTTCCAAAACTTGGATGATTTTCTTTGTTTCCCACCATCCATGAAAACTAGATTAAAACTTAGTTAGTGTACACATCATAGAATTTGTTGGAATGTCTCCCCACAATAATAAGCACAGTATTTGAAACTGGCACAAGATGAAGGGAACTAGAACAAGAGCAGAAGGCAAGCCTAGAGACAGAGCTTGCAGTCAGAGGAGATGGTTTCCCAGTCAGCTGTCCCTTCTACTGGACTCCAGCTTCATACACTGTCCCACATCACTGTCTGTCCTGTCATCCTGCCAACCAGGCAGGAGCTCAGCCTAAATGCCATGTTTCCTCTTCCCCCAGACAAGATCAGGTGTCCCATGTGTGTGCCCATACCATCTTGTATTGCTTTCTATTTTTCTTGGGGGGGGGTTTGGTTTTTCCAGACAGGGTTTCTCGGTGTAGCCCTGGATGTCCTGGAACTTGCTCTGTAGATCGGGTGGTCTCAAACTCGCAGAGATGCACCTGCCTATGCCTCCCGAGTGCTGGGATTAAAGGCTTGTATCCCCTTCCTGCAACACACGTGTGAGCTAAAAAAAAAAAAAAAAAAAAAGTATTCCATTTATAAGTAAAATGCTATTGGAGGCTTAAAGGAAATGTGAAATGTGTTATTTAATAAGATAATGTTAATCGGGGAAGGCAGGGGAATTGAAAGGAGATCTCGTGTAGCCCAGGCAATGACGCTGAGGCTGGTCTTGAACTCCTAATCTTCCTACCTACTCCTCCCAAGTGCTGCTAACATTGGAGGTGTGGCCACCACTCACAACTAAACATTAATTTAAAAAAGACAGTCTAGCTGGGCAGTGGTGGCGCATGCCTTTAATCCCAACACTCGGGAAGCAGAGGCAGGGGGATCTCTGTGAGTTCGAGATCAGCCTGGTCTATAAGAGCTAGTTCCAGGACAGCCTCCAAAGCCACAGAGAAACCCTGTCTCGAAAAACCAAATAAAATAAAATAAAAAAGACAGTCTAACATATGTACATTTTATACTCTGGTGTTTCAATAAAGTCTGTTGCACCTGTCAGTCTTGAGGGATAATATGAATAAAGAACAAAACCTGCAACAATGTCTAGGGAAATGCACTGTGCAGCAATGATAACTTGAGAATGAGATAGACCCAGAGGCCTAGGGGGAATTAGAGAGTATTAACAAAATCCCAAGGATGGTTTAGAAAGCATGCCGATTTCCACTTTCCAGAATATACAATACAGTGAGCATGGTGGCACACACCTTTAATACCAGCATTCAGGAGGTAGAGGCAGGCAGATCTCTCTGTGTTCCAGGATAGCCAGGTCTACATAGTGAGAGTCTTTAAAAAACAACAACAATGAAAACAAAAAGCCAACCCAACAAAAACATAAAATAATACAAGCAAATTATTAATCAAAGAGGCTGGGTGGTGGTGGTGCCTGCCTTTAATCCCAGCACTTGGGAGACAGAGGCAAGCCAATCTCTGAGTTCAAGGTCAGCCTGGTCTACAGAGCAAGTTCCAGGACAGTTAGGGCTACACAAAGAAACCCTGTCTTGAAAAGCCAAAACAAACAAACAAAAAAACAAAAAAAAAAAAACCAAACCCATTAAGGGGGCATATGAGTTGATTGTGCACTTTGTACACACTCATGTGTGTGTCTCTGTGTTTGTGCATCTGTGTGCATGCGTGTGCCTCTAGACTGAATCTAAGAACAGAGTGATAGAAAGCAGTGGTTCTCAGCCTTTGGGGCGAGACCCCTTTGGCAAACTCTATCTCCAAAAATATTTACATTACAATTCATAACAGTAACAAAATTAGTTATGAAGTAGCGACGAAAATAATTTTATGGTGGGTGTCCCCACAACATGAGGAGCTGTATTAAAGGTCTCTGGTCTAGGGAGGTTGAGAACACTGAGCTACTGCATCTCAGCACTGGCTCACCATACCTCAGTCACTACTGGGGATAATAAGGGATGATTGGTCACCTGTTCG